GAGTTTCTAGTTATTTGAGTGACTGTTGTGAGTTCTGCCTTTTCTTTAATGGGAGGGTGTAAATACATTAGAGGACGACTGTATGGACTTTTTAAAAGTCTTTTTAACTGCATTTATTTATTTTAAAAATGAAACATCAAGGCTGATTTTATTCATAGAAATAAAAAATAAACTGCAGATAAAACGGTTGTGTCATATAGTCATACAGTTTTATTTCATTCCCCTTTAAACAAACACCAAAAAGAAAAAGTAGAACGCTGTTGTCCATGGTGACGGTGTTCACACCCGACCACGCAGAACAATCTGAGAGAAAGGAAGGAAGCTGGTGTCCTGTACGTGTAAACCTGTTGCTCCTCCACATCATGGCAACGATTCTTAAAAAACATTTAAAAGCCTCAGAAAACTCTTGAAATGGTCACTTCATCGCCTCCCTTCATCAGGATTTGGCAAGAGATATTTAAATAAGTCCTTCCATCGCTTCCAGAAGCTCGACTTTGAACTACGATAAGGCTTCAAACACACGTGAGCGAAGGCATTTTAGTGTTAAATGCTCTGAAGTGGCCTTTTCCCCGTCAGCATGGAAGCTAAAATCTTCTTCTAGCTGTTCATCGCTCACAGGTCCAACAGTTAAAACACGTTTTTCTAGTCTTTCAGGCCTCCAACATAAATGTGGATCATTTTTATTTTCCCCTTCAGGCAGACTCACGACAACAACATACGACAAACTGGATCATCCACCATCAGTGGAAGTGAATGACACTTGGGGCCAGTGCATCCAGAGAGCAACGTGTATTGCTTTATTCCCTGACTTTCTGTCTGAGCTGGAGATTGTTATGAAGCTAAAAGGTCAAACACAGAGACGGCAAACAATCAAAGTGAAGCTGGTGGATTGTGGAACTGAAGCCGTGTTGTTTATCGTACGCGACTTTGTTCACTTCCAAGTGTCAGATTTGGAGTTTTGCAGCATCATTCTGAAGGTTTCCATGAAGCCAAACCCAGTTTCTGATTGGATTTAATCTTAGTTATGGTCCAGATGTTGTCATAAGCAGCTGTTTCGTGCATCAAGCTTCTGGTTTCTGCACTCGGTGGCCACTTGATTAGCTGCAGTCCAGTCCAATAAATTATTAGTGTTAGATAAATTCTAAGTCCTTATCGTGTGCTCAGACGGGAAGTTTAAAAACATACGTCTCAGTATAATGTACACCATCTGTAATAACCATGAATGAATCTGCATGTTGGATGTCGATTTAAGTGATCAAAAAAAGTCTCAGCTCGTATCTTTGTGCATATAAAACATTATATTGAGAAGAGAAAATAAGTTTATTTAGTTATTAAACCTCCAGCGTTGTACTTTACCAACAGACGCCACTGGACTCAGCACCGTCCTCTGCTGCATGTGCTGCAAACGGAGTCGATATGGGTTCTGCTGGACATGATTACTACCAGCATCTATTTAACTGATACCGGCCGATACTGCCGGTTGAACCGCACCACAATCTGAACATGTTTAACGTTTATCTCGATTCAGTGCGTTTTTCATCTCACAGACATCAGCTTCATTCTCCTGATCTAAAGCTCCATCAGATGAAGCTCCACCTGCTGCGACGTCTCCTCCCTCTGCGTGATTGTCACCAGGACTCATCCTTAAGGTCGCCTCCGGTTCAGCGCTCGACCTGGACGACCAGACGTGATTGTGTTTTTTCACACCGGACCGGTTTTTAAATAACAGAACAAGAACAATCTGATGATTACGGAGCAACTTGTTGGGACTTTGTTTAGCTACGCTGTGAAAGAATCCACCAGCCACTCTGTGAGGACTGAAGTCTAACGGATCAGAAGTTTAGCTGCGAGGTTATTGCTGCTCTGCGTCTCCAGAGAACCCGCTCACACTGCTCTTGTATGCTTCTACCTTGGAGTTCACTGTAATCAAATCGAATGAAAAATGGATTAAATTTACTCTCGTTTCAGACCCACTGATCCGGCACCACAGGAAGCCACGACCAACCCACCCAACCAGCGTGAACCTGAACCGTCACATTAAGGCAAATAAATAGAAACGTCTTTAAAAACAGCCGCTGCTCACTAATGCACTGTTCTAAGGCGAGTCATCCGCAGCATTCAGCAAAAACAAAACTCTTGCAGCAACAGCAATACAGCAAACGAAGAGACAGGATGGTGATCAGTCTACAGGAAGACAAAGCCGGGCGTCCGTCCCGGATCGAGCGAAAACATTCTCAGTCCACGTCGTTTTTAGTCTTGGAAGCAGGAAATGATGCGACGCGCTGCAGGGAACTCCAGCGAAGGCGTGTCTCGGTCTGCCGGCGTGGGTTTGGCCTCTGAGGTGCTTCTAACCGCCGCTCAGTCCAACATGTTTGTCCTCTCAGAGCTTCGTTAATCTCAGTCAGCACCAAAAAGGAAATAAAAAAAAAACAGAAACAACATAATACCTCACAACAGAACACCCTGAAGTATGAAGAAGTCATGAAGGGAGAGAAGATGTGGGAGGGGAGAGGTCCTCCTCCAGCCCAGGACCGGTCAGTCTGAGTCCACAGCAGCAGCAGCAGCAGCGCTCGTTACACGTCAGTTACACGATGTACTGGTAGACGTCCGCCTTGCCGTGGTCGGGCGTGGCAAACGGGCTCAGCCACGCTATAGAGAACGGGTGTCCGAACACCACCTTCATGTTCATCCACTTGGACTTCTTGGCCCATCTCCTCTCCTCCTTCTTGAGCTGCTCGATGCCCTGCAGGGAGATTCAGAGCTGGTCAGAAACACCGACTGGACGGCGCGCTAACGTTAACGAGGACTGAAAGCATCAGAAACGGATCAAGCTCTGCGTTCTTTTGTTTTCCTCCGGCAGCAGGTCAGATGACTGAGTCACACCGAGGCCTCCTTCAGACTGAAATAGATGATCTGTGTAGTGAACGTTACGACGCTGTGAGTCATCGTCGTGGGCGGTCTGAGCAGAAAACGCTCTGATCTCAACCCACCGGGGAGCCGTGAGTGAATTACCTGCTGCTGCTGCTCACGTCTGATTTAGTGAACAATAGACGGCGGTTTCACGGCCGTTATCCTTCATCATTACACATTTATTGTGGGAATATGTAGACAAACTGAAGGAGGCTCCGGAGGCTCGTGTTCCTTCACTCAACCTTCCATGACACAGATATGAATACGTGCTGCTGTTTGGGTATTTTATGCCTTTTTTTAAAGACAGCCAGCAGAGTGGTGACGTCAGTACGACACAAACTCCAATGAATGTCCTTGGCCCAAAGTCTGCACAGCAATTCTGAATTTAAGATTATTTAAAACAATTAGAGCTTTTCTTTTTGTTAGTTTAATTAATACTGAGACCAGAATCATAATATTAAACATTTCTCTACTACTGCCAAAGAGGAACACGTCCGTCTAACTCTCCTCCAGCGCCTGGCTCATAAATCTTCTCGTTCTTAAGGAGCCACTTCTAAGAAGCTTTTAGACAAACGCAGCTGCTGAATGTAGTAAATGTGATATAATTAAACAAACTGCTGCTCCAGTTTGGTTTCCTTTAGTGAAATGTTAAATCAGCCTCGGTATAAACGTCATGCAGATTACTGGACTTGAATATTGTAAACTTGTTTTTGATGCGATAACTGCAGTCATGACTCGATAATCCGACACTAAATGCAAAATCTTCTTCTATGTCGGATAGCAAGGCTGTCGGATTGTCAAGATGGAGGTCCAGATACAAGGAGGGCTTGATGCTGGAAGGCTCATGAGTTGTTCATTATTGTTCATAGTTGTTATAATAACTAGTGTATTGTTAGAACACTACGCATCGCTGGATTTCAGCCTAACTGACCGGTGCGCTTGTGCACGTTCCGGCCACTTCCACCCCGGGGGAGCGCTCTGACGGGGTGGAAGTGTCCAGAACACACAGGCAGTACTTGGCTGCTGATGCTAGTTTAGTTAGCACTCACACTTCTGTTTCCACCATCGGTGGCGGTGGGGGAGTGGCAGACACGCTCCACCGTTACCATCCTTGTTTACTTCCGTAAACACTGAGCGCGCTCGCTGCGTGTGACGTCGTCGTGTCCTCTTCTGCGCATGCGGGACACTTTTGGGTCGCATGAAGTTCACACAGCAGATCACATACAAGTCGCATTTAACTAGAAATGTGAAGGAACTCACAAAGAAATCCTCATTGAGCATCAAGTCCTGCAGTGTGAACGTAGCCAATCTGTGGAATTGTTCAGTCAGATAATACGCCGTTATCCTGACTGGTGACATCAAATGTCATGTCGGAGTCAGAATCCAAGGCTGTCGCTATGTTAAGGCTGTTTTTATGGGTTCTGTTGGTTTTTCCTAAAAAATTGATTATCGAGTCACGACTGTATATATAACTACATATATGACTATAGAAGCCTGACTGCTGTTTGAGTAAAAAACAAACATCTATTGACGAGTGCAGCACGCTGGAGGGACGGTCACAGCCGAAGCTGGTCGGCGTCTAGTGTCTTGCTAAAAGGAACTTCAGCAGGCTGGAAGGTTTCTGAAATGAGAGTCTGACAGCTGATCCTCCAGACGTCAGACCGATGTCGGACAGATCTCTGCTGCTGTCACTCACCGTTTCGTCGGTGCAGATGGAGTGAACCTGAGTCCCGAACATGACTGCGGTGAAGATGAGGAAGAGGAGACCCTCGAAGCAGAGGAGGATGAGGAGGATGACGGTTGCTGGTGGAGAGAAGCTGCTGCACTCTGGGAGGGAGGAAGAACAAAGCTTCATCACAGCTGCATATTCATGACTGATTACATTTCTTTTTTGTTGCTTGCTTTTTCCAAACCAGCAGGCCGACCCCCTCAAAATTAGATTAATTATGATATAAAAAGAGAAAAGTAATTATTTGTGACGTGTCAGAAGCTGCAGCCTGAGAATATGTCCAGTTTGCTTCAATAAGAATAATAATAACAATAATAATAATAATAATAAACAAAAATAGTTGCAGAATATTTTTGTCAGATACGTCTAATAGTCACAGTCTTCTATGCTCTCCTTTGTTTTCTACACTAAACTACTAGAATACAGGATAATACTTGTTCTATATTCTCCTATGTTCTCCTGTGGTTTCTGTATTAAACTACTATAACACAGGGTCATACTTACTCGTCCAGTCTTCTTCGAAGCAGAACACAAAGTGGAAGGCCACCATGACCAACGCATGGAAGGATATTAGTGCAATGTACATCTGAAAAGACAAACACAGGTTCAATGTCAATGAGAAACGCTCAGCTTGTATTAAATCACATATAATTGTGCTTGTATTGATAAATTAGACCCCGTTCACTCCATATTCATGTGATATAACAGAGCTGTGAATCAGCCACGAAGCAGCTCAGTGCGTTCTGACAGCAACCCTGAATGAACTAAACAACTTAGAAGCTGCTATTTGCAGCACATTGAACCATCTAAGCTCATTGGTTTATGCTGAAATGGTAACGTTTGCATGATTTCTGGAAATAGAAACTTCTAGCACGAGAACTGAATGAAGACGACAAGTTTTCCAAACGTTCTTAAATGTTGGTTGTTGAGCTGCGACGTGCAAACTGCTGTCTGTAAAGTCGACACCAACACTTTCTAAACCATCCCTTGGAACAAAACGCAGAAATCTGAAGCAGACTCAGGGTAAAAGTTCAGTAAATAAATAAATTGGTCTCCATTAGGCTGGACAGAGTTCAAAGCAGGAATCAGGAGTCGACCAATTATGAGCCAACAGGCTAATAACTGGATCCAATATTCAGCCGTTTTCTGATGAGCAGAAATGCGCTACGTGGCCTCGAGTGAACGTTCTGCTCATGAGACTAAAGCCCGCTAACCCTGGAAGATGAACCTGGTTTGATTTTAACTTTGAAAACACGCCACAGAACTCGTACAGTCGTGTTCTTATCATCCTAGAAATATGTTAAAGATTAGATCTGATTTAAAGACACAGAGACGGTTGTACTTCCTCACGGCTGGATCCCTGCAGCAGCCTTCTTATGGGTCTGAACCAGAATCCCTGGACGGACTACGGACGGTGCAGAACTCTGCTGCTGGGCTTCGAGCCAGGAAGAGGAAACGTGAGCACAGCACGCCTGTTTGAGCTCTTTCACGTCGGCTGCCAGCACGTTTCAGGATTGATTTTAAGATTTTATTCTTTACTTTTGGTCTTTAAACTGTCCCAGAGGCCCGGCTGAAGGGGGACAGAGGTTCTGGAACGACCTGCCCGAGGAAATCGGGTCGGCTGATTCTCTTTTAAGTCTTAAAACACATTTTTATCTGCAAGCTTTTCTTGGTTTTATTGAAGTTTTATAGCTTTATTTGTGTGATTCCTACTTTCATCAGTTTTTCTGTGTGCTTATTGTGCTTTAATTTTTAATTTATCTTCATTGGAAAGCACATTTGGAACATTTGTATTGAAAAGTGCTGCATAAATAAAGTTTATTATTATTATAAATGTAAAAAAGTTCTCTGTTAATCATAAATGCATACAGATGGTGTTATTCGAGGCTTTTGGTGTCACTGCGGATGCATATCGGTTCCAAATATGGGTTATAGTTTTCATTGAAAAAGAAAATGGCCTGATTAAGAACCTGGTCGAATCAGAACCGCGGCCTCGCTGCATGAAGCAGACTCACTATGATAACACAGCACATTAAACATAAGAGGCGAATCCCAGTGGATTATAAAACGAGTTTCCTGCAGCTGAAGACTCACCGTGAAGAGCACAAAGTATTTCTGGTTGTTCTCTCCGACACAGTTGTTGACCCAGGGACAGTGGTGGTCCATCTTCTTGATGCAGCGTTTGCAGACACTGCGGGAACACGGACGCACCGTTAGAACCACAAAACGGAGCAAAAACATCACAGAGGCAGGCTGTCGGCCAGCTTTGCAGTGATCGTAACTGTCGTCGGAGTAAATCAGGATGCAGAGAAACACAAAAATAAACTCAGTTTAGCAGCACTCAGACGGATGTGAGAGACGTAACAGGCTGCTCTCCATCACTGTGGCTGCAGGGAGGTTGTTCTTCTGACAAAACTGAAGCTCAAGTGTGAGCTGATGACTCTTAATTCATCACTTGAAAGTCACACTCGATCTGTTTACGCTCCTTCTGAGGGGAGTCTATACATAAAAGGCTGCCACTGTGTGTGTGATGTATTGTTGGAGGAGATCACTGCAGTGTGTAATCCAACCGCCCACAACAGTGACTCACAACACTCAGTAAAACAAAAAATAATCATAATTTCATTCAAACCCGTTCTGCCCGTGAGCCAGAGTGACTCACTGGCTTTACAATTCAATTACTCGGTGGTGTTTTTGCACTTTTCATGCCTCCAGATCCCAGGGAAACCACCGAGGAGCCGCCCGGGGAACTCCTTGTTATCAGGCTGCAGCGTCTGCAGGGAAATGCTGCACAGCTCCGAGGCAGGTGAGCCGGCGCAGGAACGAACCCGGCAGAGCAGCGAGGTTCCCCGTGGGAGAGCCACATCAGGACTTTCCTCCGTAAGCAGCAGACTTCAGCATCTTAACACCTGCAGAGAGCCCCGGACTGCTTCCCTGTAACATTAGAGCGCCGTACCTGCAGTGGTGAGCTCTGTCGGGCTTGATGCTGCAGCACTTGGGACACTTGTACACCACCTGTCCGGGCTTCAGCTGCAGGCTCTCGATGAATTCTTTGGTTGCGTTCCCTTTAGGCACGGCTCCCTGGAAGAGAGAGAGGGAGGAAATGATGTGTTCAGCTGCATTTTCTGCCACTTTAGACGGTTTTCTTTGCATTAATTTAGCTGCAGGGTTGCTAATAAATGACTACGGCAGTTTTAAACGTTAAAAAAAAGCAGCATTTTTCTTTATTACTTGACAAGTCAAAAATAAAGTCTTGTCAGAATGAAGCCACTTGGTGCCTCAAAGTCAGAAATGAATAATACTGGGAAGGCAGCAGTCCCAGAAAGCAGGCGGGACGGAGCCAGATATCGATTCTGATAAAAGGGAATCCAGCCAGCCTGAGTGCAAAAGCAAGAAGCAGCTGACAATCGATGAACATTTCAGTTTTTGTAGACTTTAACAGAGCATATCGGCAATTAAGTCTCTAATTATTCGCTATAACATGATGCAGATATTCGAAGGCAGAGACGGGTAAAGGCGTCAGATCTGATATGTGAGTGAAAGTATCGATACTTCAGGTAAAAGCTCTACAATAAAAATCCTACGAACAAGCAAACAAAAGTCCAGCCATCACTCGATAATCCGACACTAAATGTAAAACCTTCTTCTATGTCAGATAGCAAGGCTGTCGGATTGTCAAGACGGAGGTCCAGATACAAGGAGGGCTTGATGCTGGAAGGCTCATTAGTTGTTAATTATTGTTCATAGTTGTTATAATAACTAGTATATTGCTAGAACACTACGCATCGCTGGATTTTAGCCTAACTGACCGGTGCGCTCGTGCACGTTCCGGCCACTTCCACCCCAGGGGGGGCGCTCCTAAACTACAAATATTAAATAAATAATATCCGTGTACTTTCATATTAACACATCCAGTATCGACCCACTTTCACTCCCTCTTGTGGTCCGACTGGTCAGAGCTGCTCCGTCCGTTATTAAAGTTCAGCCAAAATTACTTTTCAAACAAGTCCTTCGTATTTAAAACAATTCTACGTGTTCTGTTTTGTATTATTGTGACAAAAAATATCATCGGTGACTTCTGCATGGACAACGTTCTTCATATTTCAACTCTCCTGTAATCACAGATTATTTCAGCTACTTGTCCAATATTGCAGATTCTGAATAAAATGCACGATGAGGAATAAGAGTGAACATCTCAGGCTTTTATCTATAATAGTTCCTGAGATGTTGTCATTCAAACATAACCTCGAATGTTCTATAAATGTTCTGAAAGTGGGTCGATGGGAAATTTTTAATGAAGAATTTAACAGAAATCTAAAAATGAAATCATTTCAGAAACCTTTAAAGCTGAAATATCTTTATAAATATCCACATTTCTGCTATATTTCAGGCAAATCAGAGACGGTCGAACAGGATTAGATCTAAAAATGTGATTCTCTCAGACGGAGCGTGACTGACCGGGTCCGTGCACATGGCCTTGGCGTGAGAGGCGAGCGCGAGGAAGGCCAGGCCGTTGAACAGCACCCCGTTGAAGAGGCTGTAGGCCACGTTCTTGGCGGGCAGCAGCATGACGAACACCACCACGAACTCGGCGTAGAAGACCAGGAACCAGGTGATGATGCCGCACACGATGCCGCAGCTGTCGCGGATGAACCACATGGCGTCGGAGCCGGTGCGGGGCGGAGGCGGGGCGCAGTGCTCGGGCTTCAGGTAGCCGGCTTGCCGCTCGATGTCCCTGGTGCGGTGCGCCGGGCTCTTCATCCTACAGCGCCCGCGGCTCCAAACGCATGCTGAGAGGTGGCCAGGGACAGATGGAGAGGAGGACGGGGGGCGGCAAGATGGGAAGGAAATGAAACAGGAAAAAGGAATTAGAGACTCAGGCAACGGATCTGAAGAGAGAGAGTGTCCATGAGGGGTTGTGTACAGCTATTCTGTAGAAAAGCATGATTTATGATCTCATGTTATGTGTACATGTGTATATGTGGATTCATCATGTGTGTAAATAGCTACATATAAATTCATTGTCGTGTGTATACTCTGTGTAAATTCATCATGTTATGTGTGTAAACATTAGTGATGCACATATCAAAATTTTTGGCCGATACCATCCATCCATCATCTATACACCGCTTAATCCTCACTAGGGTCGCGATATTCAATTTTTGTTCACACCAAAAAATTAGTATCAGTCAGCAATGTGAGAACGTGAAAACTATTCAGAAGAAGCCCAGTTAGACCACATAGCCTTCTTTATTACAAAAGTAAAACTTATTTTAACATATTTAATGTTAAAGGACCATTTAGGTAAAAACATCTGTGAAATTGCAGCGATATCAAATGTAGAGACGAAGACACTGATGTTAGAGTTAAATTTGTTCATCGGACCGATACCGATATCTCAGAAAAAAACACTAATATCGGCCGATACCGATATGGTTGCCGATATATCGTGCATCCCTAGTAAATATCTATGTGTAAATTCATTGTCATATGTGTAAATATTAGTGATGCACAATACTAAAATTTCTGGCCAATACTGATATCTGATATTATCACCGATGTCGACAATCAATTTTTGTTCACACCGAAAAATGAGTATCAGTCAACACTGTGAGAAAACTATTCAGAAGAAGCCCAGTTAGACCACATAGTTTTCTTTATTACGTAACACATATTTAAACATATTTAACGTTCAGTCCAGGAGCATTTAAGTAAAAACATCTGTGAAATAGCAGCGAAATCAAACGTAGAGACGAAGGCGCTGATTATAGAGTTAAATTTGGTCATCGGACTGATACCGATATATAGGAAAAAACTGATACCGGCCGATACCGATGTGGTCGCCAATATATCGTGCATCCCTATGTAAATATCTATATGTAAATTCATCTGGTTATATGTGTACACAACTATTTGTAATACAGTTATACTTATGTCATCTTATCCTGTATCAATATTTTCACTTTTAAATCCACTGCTGATCATTTCCTGTATTAATCTATCAGTTGTTTAATCTATAAAATGTCAGAAAGCAGTAAAAAAAACTGTCTCCAACACGTCCCAGAATCTTGTTCCGAACCCACAAGTTATAACTACTGTGGCTGAATGTTGGCATCTTAAACGACTTTTCCAGATGAATTCCCTCTCAGTTGTTTCATTGACGAATCATTTCAAATGTTTTAAGGCCACATCAGCTTTATTTTGATATCATAGTGCCGTCCCACAACAACTAGGACTCGGAGTAAACGGACTAATAGGAGCTACTACGTGATGCTTGAGGAATAAAAAGAAAGACGCGGTGAATCAGCGAATAAGGCCGGAGGAACAAACACTGACTGGTCGGCTCCCATATGACTCTCTTACAGAAGGCGCTGTCGGGTTTACAAACTGTAATTCGCCAAAGTGCAACTAAACAATGCTTCAAAACCAACTGCCTACACAATCCTCCAGCGCCGCACCGGGCTTCAGAGAGCGTACCGGGCTCCGTCTGGAGTCGAGGCTCATGAATAAGCAATGGAGCAGAGTTTGTGTGGACGAAAAGAGGATGGGACTTCAAAAGGGCCAAAATGTCAGAAAACCAGAAATAGGTCTCAGTATTGGATTTAGAAAAACATTTTAAAAAATAAAAGCTTATTCCCGGAGGAGAGCCGGACCTCGGAGCTCCACCAAAACCTCAAACATAATCGAATCGTAATCAAATCGTTCCCGAGGATTCAGCCCATCCATTAAGCTTAACTGAGCGATCGCCTAATCTAACTTCTACGTCGGTATTAATTAGGGCCTGGCCAGTGAGCAGCTTCCCCCAGGACGGGAGTTTAATCAGGATGAAAAGATACGACGCTGCAAAATTACTCAAAGTCATCTGTGGATTAAAACACCTCGAGGCCGTTACAGCACAACTTCAGATCGTTCACCGGATCCCAGGTTTCCAAGTCCTCGACCCGGTTTCTCCAGCTGACCTCCAGCTCACAACACATTTAGAGACGAACCAGGTAAAGATCTCAACATGTCTCTGTTACGACCTGAGAGCGTTTCACGGCTTCTTCACTTCGTCTCAGCCTCTGGGTTTAATTGTCTTTATCAGTGGGCTGATGCTAATCATGCTAATTACACACTTTATGATGTGATTGAACTGTTTCCATCCAGAAAACAAAATAGACCATCCATTCACCATTAAGTCTGCGTGGAGTCACTAGACTCCACACAGAAACAGCTCAGGTGTCCTCACCAGGAGGTGAACCAGTGACCTTCGAGCTGCAAGGCACCGGTGCTAACCACCGAGCCACCTTGCATCCCCATAACAGACTATATTTGCAAAAAAGATTCCTAAAAAACAGAACCTTCACAGACGATGAATCCTACAGGGACGTTTTCATCTGTTGCTGAGTGAATGCACTGATTGCCATAAAATTTGGTGAATACTCCACATAAATACCAACAACCGTGGAAATCCCCGACTCCTCCTCTTCTGGAGCCATAATCAGGTTAAAATGTGTTTGATTCATGGACAAATACATGCAAAGCAAATGACACACCATCGTCCTCGGCTGTTCTGGGTGTTTAGCGCTAAACTAGCAAATGCTAGCATGCTAACTAAGGATGCTGGTTGCTACCGCTGCTAATTGGCAGCAAAAATACCAGTCAGCTGAACTAACTAATAATGCACATTAACAGCATATAGCACTGTTGCATTTCAGACTGCAGCCCTCCTCTCACAGGATGCTGCAAACCAGCAAGCTAGAAAGTGGGACACATGAAAGCTTTAAAAAAAAAAAAAAAAAAGCACAATTCTGCAGTATATTGATCTAGAAAATAAAAATAAATCTGCATGTAGTCTGTGTGAGGATAAACTGAAGCAGTGAACAGTCACGTAGGTGGTAACCTGTAAGGGAAGCAGGCTGCAGGTGCTGCTCAGGCTAACCACCACCGGTGCAGCACTGTTCAGCCACAGGCGCTGTCAGTCTGAAGGTACAACACAAAGCACAACACGTTTCAGAGACACATAAGATAAGATTCAGCTCTTCAGGAGAGTGACTGACGGCGTCACATGGATCTGACGTACATGCAACATTTTTCTGATGATTAGTCAACCAGCATAAAGTCAAATATCTGTTTATCAGCAGGTACATCGCTGGTTAGTAGGGAGGCATTTACCAGTTGTTTTAATTGTTGATTATTTGCTCAATTAATCTATTAGTTGTTTGAAAATGGTGATAAAAAAAAATCTGTTTCCCAAAACCCAAGATGACACCTTCAAACGTCTTCTTCTGCCCACGAGCCAAAGACACTCAGGTTACCATCATAGAGGATAGAAACCAGAAAACATCCACGTTTATGGAGCTGTAACCCAGTAATTAGCTGGTTTGAACATCCTTAATGGTGACACAAACTAATGACGAGTTCAGACACAGATAAAGTATATTTTTGTCAGATAAGATGCCACCGTGTAGGGCGCCCGGATAGCTCGGCAGGTAGGGCGGGCGACCCATGTACAGGGGCTTTAATTCCCGATGCAGTGGCTGTGGTTCGATTCCAGCCAGCGGCTCATTTGCTGCATGTCATTCCCCCACTCTCCTCCCAACGTTTCTCTGTCTATCCTCACTGTCACTATCATTAAAGGTGGAAAAGTCCAAAAATATCTTCAAAAAAAAAAAAGATGTCACCATGCCAGATGAGGCGATAGATTACATGTCATTGCTAGGAAGGAGCAATGAACCCGATACCGGAGTGCAAACAAACACTGACATGAGTGATATTTTCATTTTTCCATTCTGAAGCAACTGTGGACTCAGCTGTGGGTCACAACATGAGGGCAGTGTGGGTCATCAGCCAATATTTCACTTCCCTGTTACATATGAAACAGCATTTTTGGCTCCTGTTAGTCAGCATCACACGGGAGGGATGCTCTAGATATAGAACTATGACGGTCTGGTTTCATGCCGATACCACGTCGTCTGGAATTAACGTTATACGTGCTGAACATCCTGGTTTTCTTGTTGCGATTGTACCGATCATGTAGCTGCCTTGGCACAGCCTCATGTTGGAGACTCATGAGTCTTGTCTGTGAGAAGATGCTACGAGTTCTTCCACGTGTGACCTGCGTGTATTTAAAAAACATCATGCAAAGGATTCAGACAGGCCTGGCTTCTGGATTTGAAACATAACCCTTTCCATTTTACAAAACAAACACGGAAACGAGGCGATCAGATCATCCTCGGGTACAAACAGAGCGTCTGTGGGACTGCAGCCACTCCAGCAGAGACTCTGCCTTGATAAAAACTCTATTTCCAAGCTTGAATGAATGTTTTAAAATTCCAGCGTGACGGCCTGAACCCCGCCGAGCAGCCTGCCGGCCTCGTTCACTACGCCTGTCATCACACAGCGGGAGTGCAGCTGCAGTGGGAGGTCAAGGAGGAGATGTGCTGCTTTCACCAGCGGTCTGGGATTACTGGAGCATCTGGTAGAAATAAGAACAGCGCTTCACAAACTATATGTCAACTCACACGCTAATCTGGCAGGTAGAGGTGAACATTCAGACATATTTATGATGCAGCTCCTTTTAGATTCATGTAACAGGAACACATGAGGAGATTTTCCCCTTGCTTGTTATTACATAACAGATTTTTGTTATTTCCTGTCATGCAGCTCTGGATAACAGATCTTCTATTACCTTCTCTGTGCTGCTACTCTTTGGGATTATTGGGCTTTAATTTGCTGGTTCATAGTTGAATATTTAGATTTTTATCACTCTGAGATGATCGGATGGTTCATGTGACACGTCACCATAAAGTCCTTTTAGTTTTCTGACTCGACAAATTGACAAAAACATTAATTTGTGGTTTGAATTAATAGCGCAGGAGTTACTCCTCTTGCAGTCGACACAGGAAACCTTAGCTAGGAGCAAAACATCGATACACCTAAATATCGTATCACAATTCATTATTGATACGTCAGGACCAATTATCAACATCCATCCATTATCTCTACACCTTAATCCTCACCAGGGTTACAGCTGGCTCAGGGTGAAGGCAGGTTCACCTGGACAGGTAACCAGTCTATCACAGGGCTACACTTAGAGACAGACAACCAAGCACACTCACATTCACACCTACGGACAATTTACAATCACCAATTAACCTCAACATGTTTCTGGAGTTGTATTATTTGTTTCGCTCTAATACACAAAACCTGAAGCATCCCTGCAGCGAATAAATACGGTTTTCCCTCTTTCAGGTGTAGTTTTTATCTCCTTCTTGCTGTACATCGAGTATCTCAGACTCGCTGCATCCTGACGCCGCCGTTACCGCGGGCGACGTGTCTAAACAACACTTTGAAGGTTGTGTTAAATTTTTTGACTCAGCAGGTGGAAGCAGCTCATTTCCCATCAAACTTGTCTGAGTTTGGGGGACACGAGGCGCTCGATGAAGGACGCTAAGCTCCAACAGAAACAACTAAACACAGACAATCAGACTAGATAGAAAGATAGAAGATAGAAAAGACCCTCGAGTGAAACTAACCGCAGAGGAAGAGTTAATTAACAACGAAGGCGACGGTTTGTTTGACTGTAGAATGAGTCCATAGATTCTGAGTGAATGGCTGTTTTTACAATGAGTGGCCTTAACAGACAGAAAGCCGCCCTTCTCTGAGTGAGTCAGCCCAGAGAGGAGATAAGACCCACCTCTGCAGCACTGGAGGATCACACACAGCCTCAGTGTTCTGCAGCAGCAGCAGCAGCAGCAGCAGCGGAGAACTCTAAACGTATGCAGCACATTCAGATCGTCCATCAATGATTTATGGGTTTGTTTGACACCCTGCCGCTCGAATGCGTTTCAAAGTAAATGACAGCGCCGAGTGATGGAAGCAGACGGCCTGATGGAGCTGACCTCCTGTTAGAGATTTCACTTTACTGATAAACTCAACAAGAAAAAACAAACCTGGACCTGTCAGCTCATGTGGAGGCATCACAGCAACACATCAACAACAACAAAAAGCTGTTTCTCTTGAAAAAACAATCATCTTTAAACAACGACTTCATTTAGAGATTTATATAAATAATTCATCACATACTTCTGCTGTATTCAGCTAGAGTAACACACGATGTAAAGAAATCGTCCACAAGTAGTGGTGGGTGGGTTAGTATTACCCAGCATATCAAAAAACTGCACAGACGCCATGTTTGGTTGAATAAATCCAGTTTAAAATATATGAACATGTATAAAATGGCACTAAAACTCCTGAAGTCATGCAAGCAGCTGATCAAGTTGTAGTAGCCAATAAGAACTATGTCTAAAGCCTAACGTAAAGTCAGTTAATTAAACGAAAGACAGAAAATTAATTTGCTGTTTCTGCTAGTTCAATGCTCAGTTGATGTATATATATGA